CCGCATGTTTGAATGGCTAAGGCTTGTCATTTTCTTTTCGGTGATAGTTCACAAGCTGCCCGTAGTACAATCTCCGAGTTTCAAATTCTCAAACATTTCCCCCTGAAGTGGGACCCCTGGCTACAATGGAGCAAAATCCTTCCCTCCAAAAAAAATAAAATAATTTATTTCCTGATGTATTTATATCTGAAACAGCTATAAAAGTCTTCAATTCTGGAGGGTCAGGAAGAAATGAGGGCAGAATGATTTTCACAGTGCCCTTGCTGTCTCTGTACTAATCACTTTGATGGTCCAGGAGCTCATGGGTCTGCTCATGGGTCCACCCATGGGTCCCACCAAGTGGACCAAGGGCAGAGAAGTGGTGGGCTAACAACTATTCTGCCTCGTCAATGAAATCTGGAAGAAAGCTTGATTTCCCGTTTCTCTTTTCTTTTTACCTAGGGATTGAATGGCTTGCCACATGTGTGATTCTTTCCAGCCTTCACACCCGTGTTAGCCCTTTTCCAGAGAAGAAATTCTCACTGAGCACTTATCATACATCATGGACCATGCCAGGTGCTTTTCAAACGTCCTTTAGCCTTCATGAACATCTGGTAAGTGTCCATACCCTCATGTGACTCAGAGGAAACTGGCTAAGTAACTGGGCCAGTATCACAGAACCAAAGAACACTGCAGCCCAGAACTGGAACCCAGCTGAAATTTATTCAAAGATCTTTTTTTTTTTCTATTACACCACTCCGATTTAATATTTGAGCTCTCCTATTAATACTACTTTTTGGTTTCAAAACAATCACTAATGCTTATTGGATGACACAGAATTATTCTACCATGTTATAACAAAGAGAAAGATTTACATAAAACAGAATTAGAGTACTGCTCTTGTGTGTTGCTATGTTGCCTTTCCCAGGAGGAGAATCACTTTAACAGGAGAAACAAATCTGGGCTATGGAAGGGATTTGATAGGAAACACCCAACAACTTTTAAACATGTGGATGAATTCTCATCTGGGAATGTCATTCCTTTCTGAAATTCTCCTAACTTCACAATGGTTTTGGCTTATAATTGACCAAATGAAGAATTTTTGTGCTAACAGGAAATGTAGACCCTGGAATGAAAACGGCATCGAGTGCGACCTCACGAGATCAAGTCCAGGCTCATTTTTGTACGAAGAATATAGGGAGCATTTGTAAGCCCTGAGCAGCTGATAACACTTGACAGAAGGCAGAGATAGGATCCTAGGGATGTGGAAAACCACTGGAAGGACGTGGAGCTCAGTGGGTCCTGGAGTGTTATCTGCCCTGGTCTCTAAAGAAGCCAGATATGAAAGTTTCAAGGATAAAATTGAGAGTGAAGAGTGATACACAATCTTAGAAGCCTTTGCATGAGGCATAAAAGGAGTATTTCTGACATCGTACCAGCAACCTCATAAACAGGGAGGGAGAAAAGTGAAACCGAAGACTATTTTGCCACCTCCTTTAAACCTACTAACAAGAGGCCAAGAACCTTTGGTCAAAAATATCCTAACTTTGGGGCGCCTGGGTGGCTCAGTTGGTTGGGTGTCTGCCTTTGGCTCAGGTCATGATCTCAGGGTCCTGGGATCGAGCCCCGCATCAGGCTCCCTGCTCAGCAGGAGGCCTGCTTCTCTCTCTCCCTCTACTACTCCTCCCTGCTTGTACTCTCTCACTCTCTCTGTCGAATAAATAAATTAAAAAAAAAAAAATCCTAACTTTGCAGTAGGCCCCGTACACTGTCCTCCAGCGAGTAGTTTTCCACCCAAATGTAATATCTGCAGACAGCTTAGAAGCTTCGTTGGTCAGAAAAGCACTCAGATCACAGCTATATTTTCTTATCTTGATGGCCAAGTCTTAGAACCCTTTGAAATGTTGCAGTCATGGCAGTAAGAGAAACTATAGAAGACAAAATGTGGATTTCATTAGGGAGTTGTTGTTTTTTTCCCAGACCCTCAAAGGTCTCTGTTGGAGCCTCTTACCTGGTAGCACAAAAGCTACTAAATCTCTTGAATGAAAGGGTCAGGTGCGAGCTGTGTAAGCACGAAGCCCTGCTAAGCCCTGCTCAGACCACCCAGCTCTCCAAAGGGGGGGAGCAACACCAGATTCAGACAAGATAAGAAGCTGCTGTCCTAGGTTACCCGGCCCAGGGAGACAGCCTTCCAGAGAGTTAAGGAGCCCATTGTGAGGAATGACTGTGTGCTCTGCAAAGGTAGAATTTGTCTAACTCACTCTACCGGTGGTCTTGGTTTCTGAGGAGAGACAGACAAGTTAAAAGATATTTTTGAAAAATGTTAAAAAAAAGAAGAAGAAGAAAAGAAAAGCAGGAAGCCAAATCTTGGGGCCTGTTTTCAAAACGCAAATGCTACAAAGCTCCCATTCCCCCTTGTCTGTGTTTAGAAGACTGAGCCATGTCCGCCAATGTCAGAGTATCAGAACTGGAAAGTTGGGGCGCCTGGGTGGCTCAGTCGTTAAGCGTCTGCCTTCGGCTCAGGTCACGATCCCAGGATCCTGGGATCGAGCTCCGCATCGGGCTCCCTGCTCGGCAGGAAGTCTGCTTCTCCGTCTCCCACTCCCCCTGCTTGTGTTCCCACTCTCGCTGTGTGTCTCTCTGTCAAATAAATAAAATATTAAAAAAAAAAAAAAGAACTGGAAAGATACTCAAACTCATTTAACTCAACCCTTTCCTTTTATTGGAGGAGGAAGTGAAGTTTAGGGAGATTAGCCGGCTCACCCAAGATTGGTTAGCAACAGCTAAGGCTTGAAACAGCGTGAGGACAAGGGCTCTGTCCACACACTGATCTTTCTGGAGTCCCTGGAAAGTAGCACGGAGCCTGGCACGTAGCGGGCACCCACAAACATCTGGAGTGAGGAGAGGGGGGAAAAGGAAGGGACACTGATGACCACATCCTATTTTCTCTTTCCTGTAAACATACAATGGCATAAAACATCATCGAGGATGGGGATGGAGGCTGAGTTATTACCTTCATATGTTGTCAAATGAGGACCTCAGCATAATGGAGGAATCACTTCCTGTTTCTCCCAATCCCTGTGGGTTGGTCTAATCCAAACTCAGTTTCTAGGAATTGCTCCTGAACAGTCCCAAGAAATAATCCAGCTCAGTTCAGCCCCACTCGGCCTAGCCCATCCCCAGAAGCAGAGTATCCCTGGGAGGCTGATAAAGAATTGAGAACCGCCCTGGGTTGAAAGTTTCTAAGATGAACATTGCTTGGCCATGTGCGGTCAGGTCAGACCACACATCCCAACACATGGAGGTGGGTACATGGCGTCCAAGTACCTTTGCCCAACTCCCTTCCTCACTCGTGGGAATGGAAAGGCGAAGATGGAAAAAAGAGCAAGGAAATAAAGATGAGGTTGGTGGGAAAGCTGGTCAAAAGCCCTGGTTTATCAGCCAAGCATGCAAAGCCATGTCGCATATAACTTATGTTCAACATCAGCTGAAATTCCAGTTTATCATTTAGATATGAGGTTTCACATTAACCAAGTACGTGACAAGAATTTAATTGCCCAGGACAACATAGAGCAGTGCTTATCCAAATGTGATCTCACCTGCTTCAGAATCACCTGGGTAAATTCTTGGCCCCTCCCCAGGCCTAAAACCCTTCGGTGGGGCGGGGGCGGGGGGGGGGTGCCCTAGGCACCTGCCTTTCAGCAAGGACCCAAGTGGTTCCCATTCACACTAAGTTTTGAGAATTCCTGATAGACAGAAAGACCAAGGGTAGTTACCATTTTCCTAGAATCATACTGAAGGCACTTTTACCAAGTATAGGCAGGGGACTGCAAAGCAATTCTTCAGGCTTTAACTAGAGTCAGGAATGGTGCTGTCAGTTTTCTGGAGCAGAAACCTGAGGAGCATTTGGATCACTAGGTCTAGTCGGCGAAGCAGTCGTGAAGAGGTTAATCTCTCCAGCAAGATTCCCAGGCCATAATCTCCAACCAGCCCCCGGAAATGCTCTTTTTAAGCTTTGTAATTCACACCAGGCAACAAGACTAAGCACAAGAGTCCAAAAAAAAAAAAAAAAAAGCAGAAAGGAAAATTAAATGCCTTGAAAATTACTTCTGTGATCCAGATGAAAACTAAAAGAAACTATTCACTACAGCACCAAAGTCTCTGGACCGAATCTGGGTAATGTGCAAAAAAGAACTTAAACATCAGTCCCAAACTTCAGAACAAAATGATTTCTTTGCCTCTCCAACACTCCCTCTCATCCCCATAAAAATAGAAATCATGCTTTTAAAAATATATCTCCAAGTAGAACTAAATCAAAGCCAGGTATCCAAAACTCATCTCATGCAAATTTCTCTCTCTTTATACCATGAGGAGATTATTCGTCATGTTAATTTTTTCATCATTTCCCTTTGCCATTTCATGTAGCTGAGAAGAAACATCCTGATCTGGGGTGGTGGTGGTGAGGGTGGATTACAAAATTTAAAATGGTGATTTCGTTGGTGAGTGCCATGGGGATGGATTCGGAAGAGAGTTATAAATTGTGTTGCATAATAGAGAGACTCCCATTGTGGGCATATGGGTTTTTAACAGTGCAAACAGCCACCCTTCTGAGTTGACATGAGAATTAAACTTTTGCAAGCGGACTCTGAAAACCCTTCTTGCGAGGATACTTGAAGTGAACTCTACCACGCAAACCAACCACCTCGGGAGCATTCTGCTAACAGAACATTCGCAGTCAAGATGAGAGGAAGTACATAAAGCAGATACTTACAGGTAGTGGTTTTCCTTTCCAAGCTAAAAAGCTAGAAACTCTGGGCCCCGGGGCAGGCGGGGAAGAGTCACTGACCCGGGAATCTCTGGTTTAAAGGGCTGTGAGAGGAAGGGGGAGGAACAAGATCCCAGGAAAGGAAAGAGAGCTGAAATTCCAGTCTTTCAGGTCAGCTGAGTGTGAGCTTTCTTTGTACTAGAAATCCCTTAACCCACCCAACGGGAAAACATAGACCTGAAGTTCACATACTCACTCCACTGTCCTTGCTGGTCCTGTCCAAGGCGGCGGCGGCGGCGGCTTGGGCTTTGGAAACTTCCCGACTGCCCAGCCCCAGGACTCCCCCTGCGGAGGGCATGATAAAGGATGCGTGCAGAGCTTGCAGGGGAGCCCGACCTCCCTGGCGGAGAGCCAGGGCTCCCCAGCCCCTTCTGCTGGTTGGGCCCGCAGGGACCAAACTGAGCTTTTGTTAATAGGTCGCTTGCTCGGCTCCCTAGCCTCTCGCCAGCCTCCCCTACCACTACTGGTTCTGTACGAAGTGCTCTGCCGCCGGCTGAGCCGAAGCGGCCGCTCCCGCCCGCCGCACACGCGCACGCACACGCACACACGCTTGCACACACGCTCGCACACGGCATGCACACAGCCACCCAAACACACCGCACCCAGGCGCCCACGGGCTACGCACACACAGACCCACACTCACAGGCGTGCACGCATCCACACGCGCGAGTATGTGTGCACACTCACACATGCCACACGCGCGCGCACGAGCCCCCACCCACAGTCATCCTCACGCACCCACACATGCTCACGAACGCCCGCCGCGTGCATACGCACACACTTCTTTCCCCGGACCTTCAAACTCCTCAAACACTTTTCTCTCCCTGAACCTCTTTTCTGGAAACACACGCCTTCCTCCCCGGAAAGGTTTTTATTCAAATTCAGACAAGATGCTCCGCACTCCGCGAGGAGGAGGAAAGGGGAACTGGCCCCTTCGGACTTTTGTCACAGCCTTTAAAGAAAAAGAGGAGCTTCTGTTTGTAAGCCCCACCTTCGTTGTTCAGCCTACAAGGCTCTTCCCGTGTTTGGATGCTTTGTAAAAAGTCACAAAAATTCCCGTCATCTCATCTCATTTACATAGAGTGCACGACCCCGCCCATTGAGACACAGCCCAGGTCATGAAACGGCCCCCGCAGAAATTCATTTCATTAAACTTGTCAGGGTTCAGTGGGCGGGGGAAAGTCTTGCTCCCTAACAACTGCATAATAAAATGCCTTCCTGTATTTCATCTCCACCAGCAAAAAATAAAAAAAAAAAAAGTAATGGCATGCCATCTGTCCCAACTTTTAAATTGACCATAAATAGAGAAGTTCAAATGTTATCTCACTTTGGGGAAAATGTTTATATTGAGACATGTCTGGTTGTTCTAAACTTTAGCCAAAAGCACAAGGCCCTGTAAACCCAGTTCCCCCTAGACTGTGGTTCCCCGTCACAAGGTGACAAGCCATACCCCCTTCCTTGGAAACAATGAGAAGAGAGAAGGAAAGTGAAAAGAAAGGAAAGTGTATGAGGAAGGAAGGATGGAAGGAAGGAAGGAAGGAAGGAAGGAAGGAAGGAAGGAAGGAAGGAAGGAAGGAAGGAGAGAGAGAGAGAAAGAAAGAAAGAAAGAAAGAAAGAAAGAAAGAAAGAAAGAAAGAAAGAAAGAGAAAGAAAGAAAAAGAATGCAAGAGAGAAAAATTATTTCATTTTACAACATGCTTTACGGATACTTTAGGAAGGAGGGGTACATATACACTTACTCAAAGTCACCAGAACTTTAAAATTTTCAAGAATCTCTCGATTCAGGACACCTGGGTGGCTCAGTCATTTAAGGGTCTGCCTTTAGCTCAGGTCATGATCCCAGGGTCCTGGGATTGAGTCCCATGGGTCTCCTTGCTCAGCAGGGAGACTGCTTCTCCCTCTGCCTGCCACTCCCCCTCCTTGTGCTCTCTCTCTCTCTCTGACAAATGAATAAATAAAATCTTAAAAAAAAAAGAGGAATCTATAGATTCACCCCATTTGCTCTGATAATGGATGAAACCTGTTGAAGAAACACGAGGCTCTCCATAAGTAAACAAAAATTGTTTGCTAAACAATTATTAGTAAACAAAATATAGTGACAATGTATGACTCGTGTACTAATCTCGAAAGGGCAAAAAATAAAGCTTTAATGATAAGTTAGGAATCACAGTGTGATAGATGATTTTTGTTCTCAGACTGAATTTAAAAATTTACCAGGCTTGTGAATATCTTAACCACAAAGAAATGAAGATGATCGTAACTACTACTAGTTGAGATCCAAAATCCATTTGATAAAGGAATGATAGAAGGTAGTTTCGTCGATATGCTTCTCTTAACATCTGGGTTAAATAAAGTTTATGGATTAGTCAAGAAACAGAAATAAATGTTTTACATCACTTCTATGGGGGGAAAAATACGTTCACCATTCTAAGCAAAAAATAATAAAGTTAAATTGAAACGTATTTCAGAATGTCTGCAGGGAATGTAATTTTCTTTAAGTTAATCAGTATATGTATGATGCTGGGTCTAATGTTTTGCTGAACATATTCTAGAATAGACAGACATAGAGTTCGGCTAGCCAAAATATCTTGAAATCTGAAGTACCTGCTTATACAAATAAGTCTCGCTCTCTTAAATTTCCCACAAATGGATGGGGGCTGTTAAAATAATACAATTATCAACTTCAGTAAAGTACTCCTTGAAAAGCTGAAATGCAAAGCCAAATGCTTAAAAAGAACAAGCAAAGGAACAACAAAGAATCTCTCCCCTAAAAGCATGTGATATTGTGCTGGAACAAAATGCATTTTAAAGAAATCATTCTATTTCTAACCTTAGGGTTGGAGTGATGTGTAAAACATAAAATATTTTGGAGATTAGCATTGCCTTTTGGATTGTAACATGTATAATTTTTGCTGAACTGTTACAGAATATAGCAGTCTCTGAGAAGCAAAGCCAACATCCTCACCAACAACTCCCATAAGCGAATTAAGAGTGTGCCTATTAAAGATTGCTGATGGCACCGAGCACATTGCCCTGTGAAAATGGTTTTCCCCTGAGTCTATAAAACCTGATGACTACAGGGAGCAACGCTGCAACAAGGAGTGGAAGAGTCACACTCTAAATAGATCAACTTAAAATAAAACAAAAAGTAAGTAAAATAAAAGCAAAATAAAATACCCTGTACAGCAGAAAAGAACAGAAACACAACCCAGCAAGAATGTTGGAGGCAGAGGCTTACTGAGTTCAGGGTTGGGAGTGACAGGGTAGCTAGGGAATGAAACAAACCCCTCCCACCACCCCCCACCCCCTCCCCACAGCAAGACATGAAGAAGAGGGGTGTGCTCTGCTCAAAATCAGAGGAGTGTAGATGGATATCACTCTAAACCTAAGTGCAGAAGAGTGTAGATGGATATCACTCTAAACCTAAGTGCAAAATCCTAACTAACATATTTACAAATCTAATCTATTTTGAAAGGCACTATAATCAATATGGTTTATTTCAGGATGGCAAGGATGGTTCAAAATGAACACATCTAGCAGTTCCGTATTTTAAAGGAGAAAAAAAAAGCCACACAATTGTCTTAATAAATGCAGAAGAGTGCTATTCAGTAAAATTCAATACTCATTCTCTAACAACAACAACAACAACAAAACATCATTAGCCAACTAGGAATAGAAGTCTTTTTACATGATCAGGGACATCTATCAGAAATCTTATGCTTGGGCACCTGGGTGGCTCAGTTGGTTAAGCGACTGCCTTCGGCTCAGGTCATGATCCTGGAGTCCTGGGATCGAGTCCCGCATCGGGCTCCGTGCTCGGTAGGGAGTCTGCTTCTCTCTCTGCCCCTCCCCCCTCTCATGTACTCTCTCTCTCTCATTCTCGCTCTCTCAAATAAATAATCTTTAGAGAAAAAAAAAGAAATCTTATGCTTAATGGTAAAATTTTAGTAACCACTAAAGAAGGAACAGGACAAAAATGCCTGCTACATTCCCCACAATTCAACATGGGATAGGAGATCCTAGCCAATACAATAAGTCAAGAATAAAAAATAAGGCATGAGGATTGGAAAGGAAGAAAATAACCCTATTATTTGTAAAAGATACGAGTCTCTCTCTAAAATATATTTTAAAAATCTTCTCGGGGCGCCTGGGTGGCTCAGTCGTTAAGCAGCTGCCTTCAGCTCAGGTCATGATCCCGGGGTCCTGGGATCAAGCCCCACATTGGGCTCCCTGCTCAGTGGGAAGCCTGCTTCTCCCTCTCCCACTCCCCCTGCTTGTGTTCCCTCTCTTGCTGTCTCTCTCTGTGAAATAAATAAATAAAATATTTTAAAAAAAAAATAAAATAAAAATAAAAACCTTCTCAATGAGGATGCTAAAGAAGGTGCTCCTGATGGGAGAGACACAGAATGGACAGACTTTCCCAAAACACCCACTAAGTAATACACTTGTTAACGAAGGAATCCTTCTCCCAGCACTTTATGTCAGGAGCCAATGGTCCAGCTGGAGATCTGAAAGAATTAATGACTTGGGTTCTTTTCATTTTATGATGGCTGATACTCAAATCATGTGCTTCACTGAATCTATTAGAGCAAATGTTTCCCATCCTCCATTTCAAGGCTATTGCTTGTGGAAATGGGAACTTCAGACTAAAAATTCTACTTATCACATTATCATGTCCACATTTGTCCATTAACTTCCAGCAGGAAATCAGAATAAACTGACTCATTCCATTCCACTGTGCCTTCACAATTGAAAATTAAATAGGCAATGCATTTTTCTTGATAATTAACTTGAACACAGCTCCAAATACTAGCATTAAAGTAAACAGACATTAGGATTTCTGTACACACATTAAAAACATGAAAAAATCATCAGGAATCCTTTCTATGTCCATCTTTTATAGGACAAGGGAAAATGCACCAAAGGCAACATAAACAACTTAATTTTATGATGTTTTGCATTTCAGCTGTCTGAGATTTGGGATTGATTTGGTCTTTCAAAGCTTAGCACCAGGAACAATTTCATCTTTCCAAGCATAACATAAGGAGTTGGGAGTTTTCACTCATTGACTCTGGAAAAATATCCTAATTCCAGCTCCCTCAAAAGATGATGAATTTTGTATCATAAAGAATCAAAATAAAAACAGTTGTTACATTTAAAAAAAGAAATCATGGCAACTTAGGCCAAGTCAGAATACTGTACTCTGAAAGTAACAACAAACCCACAGGCAAAAGATGCTTTTCACACCTTAGAAGTAAATGGCACAAATCTACTAACAAAATCCC